GTTCGCAATTTTCGTGAAAAAGAAGCGCTGCTTGCTGCCAGCAGGTCGTGACTTGGACATGCCAGCACTCTTATTCGAGTAGCAACCCGCACGGCGGATCCATGATATCATATCCCAGGCAATGCTCTTCCTGTGGTTTTATGGGCGTGGAGTCTGCCAGTGCTTCTGTCAAGGGTGCGCGCGTTTGATCTGCTGAGGCTCGTACCCGCCGCCTTGCCCTCGACTCCGGTGCAGATCGTGTTGAACGGCTCGCAGGCGCAAGAGAAGTGCGTGGGCTGGTCGTCTCGTCGACGCTCTGCCTCGGACAAATCTGCACAGGTCTTCTGGACCTCAGAAATGCAAGAAGATTTCGACGGTGGCCCGGTTGGGATCCCTTTATCCATGCCTTCTTGTCGGCTCACGATCGATTCTCTATGCTGCGGCTTGAAGTGCTTAACTTCCTGACGCGAAGAAGGTCTCACGGCTGTGGCGAAGCCTCGACCGGCTGCGTCACACTCACTCCTCCGCTCGCCTGAAGCCAGGGATGTGGCCGCTGGTGCCTTAGCGCCGGGACCCCAGAAGTGAAGCGTTGTAAAAAGCGCGGCGCTCGGCCAGCGCGCTGACCTTGCGACCTATAGGGCGAAGTCGAGTTCTGAAGAATTCTGCAAATGGAAAGACGCGGACATGTGAGTGAATCTCCAGTATTGGGAGGACCCTCAAGGGCAAGGTTAGGTCACAGCACCTTGTTGCTCGAAGCTCCGAACCCGAGCCTCCTCCAGGGCAGTCACAAGAGTCACTAGAGAAAACAGAACGCTCCTAATGCACCGTTAAACGGGTCGTGAAGACATCTTGCACATCATCTCGCACAGGAAAATCTGAATTGAACTGTTTCCAGGTGTAACTTGAACTCACTCTCGCACCTTGTATTGATGGAGGAGTTGGAGTTGGCTAGGGGCCGATACAGCACAGGTTTTGACATGGTTGATTCCAGCACCCAGCCAAGCGCCCACCCCCAGTGTCACGACCATACCGAAAAGTGCCGGGAGCCATGCGGAGAGCCTCCCTAGAGTCCAATGTTTTCGGAGTGCTTTTTGAAGCTGTGCAAGCACTATACAGACTGGCATGCTTTTTCGATGAACGTTTCTGGCAGCGCACCCCCAAAAACAGGGGCATGGTGTGGCATGATCTTTTGCGATCGGCAGCTCCGCGTAAGGCTTCAAAGCATGGCGACAGCCAACGTCGATTCCTGAGCCGACTCCTCAACCTCAACACTGCGTCTGCGACTGTTTCAGCCCATGTCGACTACAGTTGTATGCTGCAGGCAAGGTGTTGTGTTTGAGAAAGACGACGGAAGCCGTCCAGACCCCGGCTGCGCAGCTGGGCTCTGCAGTCGTTGTTATCCTGCCAGTGGCCGCTCCGCAGTCGCTCCGTAGAGTGTCATGGCTTGGTGATTGGCTCAAAGTGTCGCAGCAGCTGCGGCTTTCTGTTTGATCAGCTTTGCAGCGGCTTCGCAATCCGACTCGATGATGGCCTGCCGCGTCCCGTCGCCCAGAGCGGCTTCAGCCGGCGCGACCGTGGCGACTCGGCTACATCTTCGTTACTAGTAGCCTCGAAGCGGATTCTCTTGGGACGGCGTGCCGTGAGCATGCACTGAACTGCCCGAGGTATCGCGACACATTTGCTGGGCGCCCACAAACAGTGGCGAAGGATGTGTTGAGTCACGTTGTGCTCCAAAGCGGCGTTGAGGTCAGCCTGTTCATGTGCCGCAATCTGAGTGTGAAAGTCGCCTTGGCTGCGTGGATGCGGAGTTTGCTGGGCCAAGGCCGGGTAAAATCATTTACACGACGCTGCCCAAAAGGGTGGTGTCAGTGACGCGACAGGCAGGGGCTGCAAGACTGCAGGGCAAGACTTCTGGATACTTGTAGCAGGACTTTGGACAACACATCAGTCGATTGTGCCAAGTTAGTCTGCGATCAGTTTGAAACCCCGCCACGAGCCCATGGCGCTGCCGCTCGTTCTGCCGCAGCCTCGACTTATAAGTGTAAAGCCGCCGGTGGCAGAGCCGAGCTTGCAGTCGCAAATGGCCAAGGTTAGCCGCACGCCTCCGAAGGAAGCGCGTTCGCGCCCGCCATGCCCGCCGTGACCTGAGTCTCGAGCCTTTTTGATCTGTCTTGCCTCGTGTGCACATCGCCGCCTTTTCCCGTACTCCTCATCCTATCTCATCCTGGGGTTTTATAGTGCTTGCTCTCTTCAGAAACCCGTTGCCTTGAATCGCAGGTAGCCTCCGATTGCAACTGCCGGCTTTGCTTTTCCTTCCATGCTTCCTGCACTGCTGTCTGCGACAAAGAGCGCACACGCGCGTTGGCAGTTGGGTGACTGGGTGCACATTGCAGGCAACAAGACTGCTGGGAGGTTACCGAAACCTGTGGCACATTTCCACGAGCGAGACTCGAACAAGCGCGGCATCACTATTCAGCGAAGCCTCAATCCTGCATTGAAGCATGTGTGGTCCTTTCTATATCTTTTTGCCATGAGGGTGGTTCTGCCCCCTGCCAGTTCTGCAGAAGATCGTTCGGGCAAGATTTCGGAGCTACTGTGCTGCTTATCCTGCATTCTCATGGACTCCTGTACATGGACTAGTCTGCTTAATGACAGCCCGAATCCGGCTCCGAGTCAGCCGCGTGGCGCAGAAGATCATTGATCCCTGAACCCGCCAGCTGCAAGCTGCCATTTACGCTGAAGAAAGGGGGAGCGCAATAAATCCTCTGGGACAGCTTGATGGGGCAAAGGCTGTTTGGGCAAACTCTTTTTTGAAGCTCCTTGGACCCAAGCCCGGACTGCCGCTTCGGGTGGTGTGGCAGCATCTCAGTGTCCATGTTGATGGCCTTCTCAGTGTGGCTGAGGCCTCTGCCGATCTTGCTTGGCCGGGAGGCCAGACCTGGTTGCAGGCTTGAGCGCGGCGGTGCGTGTGTCCCCGTGCAGGCAAGCCCTTTCAAAGAAGAGGCCCCGCCGCGCTGTGGTCATGGGCAGTGATTTGCAGTTCGAGCTCGGCCAAGCTGCGCAGCAATGGCACAGCCTGTCAGGGCTCTGAGTGCCGCCAGCCCCGCGAATCCCGCGAATCCCGCGAGTCCCGCGCCGCAACCCCAGTCTCCGGCTAGTCAGATGGCCATGAGGTGGTCGGGGCGGGTGAACTCGATCCCCCAAGGCCCGGCGTAGCGGTGGGCGGAGGTCCGGATTGGCTCCTCGGCGTGTTAATGCTTGGAGCTCTCTGTTCGCAAGAGAATCATGATACGAGAGAGTCCGAGAGAGCGGGCTGCGGGGCCCGAACCGTCGAGGAATCGCTGGAGCGGCAGCGAAAGCCTAAGGAGGCCTGAGGGTCGATGTGCGGCGCAGCTGAGAGCCTGCGCTCAGCTGTTCGCTCCGTTGCAGGAATTTGAAGCCCCGAGCCCGAGCTCCAACATGGATGCCAGCAGCCGGCTGAGCATGCTCTCATTCCCTTGCGCTTCTCTCGATGCTTCCTGCTTCAGGCAGTTTACAGCCTATCAACAGTGTGCAGGAAGGCATGGCACAGAGGATGGAGGCGGCCGATGACAAGTCAACGATCAAGTTCGAGAAAGCTTCCTAGCCTGAGAGTCGAACTCGCTCGGAGGATTTCGAGCGACAGCTCGCGAAGGCCAGGTGGAGGAAAGTTCGCATTGCAGTGGGCCCTTCGTCAGCTTCCAGCTAGCTTACACGGAAGGTTGATGAGTTGACCTGCCGGATCGAGGCCGCGATGTTTTGAGCATAGACGCGCGCCCGTTACTTGGGCTGCGGATGCTTGCGGATGGGCTGCACGATGCCTTCGCCAGGCCATGGCGAACACGGTGGAGGCAAACATTGCTTCTACACGTGAGGAGCCGCCGGATGCAAACTGAAAATCTTGAGCCGGATTCTGCCGGTGCTGCGCGTGAACTTGAATCGTTGGATGGGCAGCGGAAGCCTAGGTGAGAGCCTAGCCGTTCGCTCCGTCGCAGGAAGGCTCCAGCTCGAGCACCACCACCGATCCCAGCAGCCGGCTAAGCGCACTCTGATTCCTTTGCACTATTTTGCATTGCTGATGCTTCCTGCTTCAGGCATCTTACACCCTGTCCTCACTATGCTGGAAGGCTTGTCAAAGAGGATGGAGGCGGCCGATGACAAGTCAACGATCAAGTTCGAGAAAGCTTCCTAGCCTGAGAGTGGAACTCGCTCGGAGGATTTCGAGAAGCGGTTTGCGAAGGCCAGGTGGAGGAAAGTTCGCATCGCAGTGGGCCCTTCGTCAGCTTCCAGCTAGCTTACACGGAAGGTTGATGAGTTAAGTTGCCGGATCGAGGCCGCGATGTTTTGAGCAGAGACGCGCGCCCGTTACTTGAGCTGCGGATGCTTGCGGATAGGCTGCACGATGCCTTCGCCAGGCCATGGCGAACACGGTGGAGGCAAACATTGCTTCTACACGTGAGGAGCGGCCGGATGGAAACTGAAAATCTTGAACCGGATTCTGCCGGTGCTGCGGGTGAATCTGAATCGCTGGAGGGGCAGCGGAAGCCTAGGTCCTAGGTGAGAACCTGAGCTCAGCCGTTCGCTCCGTCGCAGGAAGGCTCCAGCTCGAGCACCGCCACCGATGCCAGCAGCCGGCTGAGGGCGCTCTGATTCCTCTATGCTTCCTGATGCTTCCTGCTTCAGGCATGATACCCGTACAGCCGGTCCTCAGCGTATTGGAAGGCTTGATGAAGAGGCTGGAGGCCGATGACAAGTCAACGATCAAGTTCGACTGATAAAGCTTCGTAGCCTGAGAGTCGAACTTGCTCGGAGGACTTCGAGAAGCGGCTCGCGAAGGCCAAGTGGAAAAACATCGCATCGCAGTGGGCCCTTCGTCAGCTTCCAGCCAGCTTACACGGAAGGTTGATGAGTTAAGTTGCCGGATCGAGGCCGCGATGTTTTGAGCAGAGACGTGCACCCGTCACTTTGGCTGGGGATAAGCCACACGATGCCTTCGCCAGGCCATGGCGACCACGGGGGTGGAGGCAAACACTGCTTCTACATGTGAGGAGCCGGAAAGAAACTGAACATCTGCAGCCGGATTTTGCCGGTGCTGCGCATGAACTTCCGGCATTCGCCCGCGATGTTTTCAGGAAGCCTGGGAAGCTCGATGGGAGCAGTTGCAGGCCGCGCCGGACGTGATCTTGCTTTGTGTCGCGAGCCGCGCGAAGCAAAGCCCAGAAGATGCGGACAAGGCCGCGAATATCGTGGCTTCTCAGCGCATCGAGAATATCGATGCCCAGCTGGCACAGCTCCTCGCCGATGCCTCAGCTTCAGCTTATGATTTCATATAAGAAGCAGCCGGTGTTGCTGTTGAAGACGGCTTGGCCAGCCCCACGCACCTGCAGGAACGGCCCACCTGCCGGAGCTCAACAGTTTCAGCTGCTGTCTCAGCTGTTGCGACTGGAGCAAGCATTGCGCTTCACTGCCCAAGTGTTGAACGTCTTTATTTGTCAGTTTCGCCTGGTATCGCCCAGTGTAGTCTTGTGCTGTCTCAGCTGTTGCGACTGGAGCTAGCATTGCGCTTCACTTCCCAAGTGTTGAACGCTTTTATTTGTCAGTTTCGCCTGGCGTCGCCCAGTGTAGTCTTGTGCAACCCGTTCGTTTTCGGGATTGCCGCGCCATTCCCCTCTCTCCATCTCGACGGCTGTAGGCCGCCGCCCAGACGGAATCGGAAGATAAGAACCTGCGCGAGCACCTTGGCCCGGTTCCGTTGCATTACCATCAGCTGCACTTGTAGACTTCATCAAAAGGCGCCACTTGGAGGGAGCATTCTGATTAGGGAATATATAGACGATATAGACGTGCCTGAGACCAGGACAGTGGAGAAGCAGGAGTTTCAGCTGCAGCTTGCGGATGCTCGGCTGGCAACCGGAAAGTTAGGTTTCGGACAGGCTTTGTTGATGCATGCGAAGACGGGGCAAGTGGCTACGTTGGCTCGTGACACCCTGAGGCAGGCGACAAGTTGATGCTGAAGGACGAGAACAGTAATTGCCGCAGGATTGCGCTGGATGCGCTCAAGGAGAAGAACGGCTACAAGGAGCCTGCGCCGCCTTGCTTCGTAGTTGCACGCGCAACCGGCCAGCGGCTGGCCATGCAGGCGGAGCTCGCAGCCGCGCAGAGGCCATCGGGCATCCGTGGCAGAAGCTTCCGAGCCCCGCTGAGCACAGGCACCTTGGCTTCCTGACGGAAGGGGAGGAGCTGGAGAATCAGGAGAATGAGGACCCAGGCTCGACTCGCGACTCGCGCAGTGCACGCGAAGCGGTGCGAAGCTGTGAACTTCAGGGCAAGCCAGCACCGAGGCGATTCTTGAGGTGGGATCTTTATCGCGTCTTCCGTCCGTTCTCCAGTGGTGCCACGTGTGGCCACAGGACTCGGGAGAGCAGGAGCAGCAAGAAGGCCGGGGCTGCAGAGCGAAAACGGGGCTTCTTGTGACAAGGAGGCCCAAGCTTGTTGCAGAACGGAATCCCCACGTGGTTTTGGGGGAGTCGGGAGTCAAGGATGTTGGATTTGACCTGGGGCTTTGCGGGTTTGGAGGCTGATGCATGCTAACATGCTAATGCCCAAGCTTCAAGTCTCCGAGTTCTGCGAAAACTTGCCACAACCCTCTCAGAGCTACCGCGACCACATCGTGCAAGTGGGCCTGGCTGGCTGTATCTCTATGGAGAGGCGGGATTCCAGGAAATGGTGATGTTGTCTGTGCTTTTAGGGTTGAGCGGTGGTGCATCCTGTGGTTAGCCTGAGGGTCTTCTTTGGTCCTCGCATTTTGCTTGGAGCTGGGTTCCTTATCACTCCTTTCGACGCCTTTGAATTTGAGCTTCCTTCCGGATTGGTCGCAGCAGTCTCCTCGAGGCTCATGTAGCTTTGCTCTATGAGGACGCAGACACAGTCATTCTAGTGATCCGGAATGGCGAGGCACTTCTTCCCCGAGCTGCAGACGGCCGCATCATCCTCAAGAACGAGGAAGCGTCGGGGTTTGGGGGACTTCGCGGCTGGCGGCGCAGTGAGGGCGTCGTGCGTGTTTGGCACTGCACAGGACATGGTGGCAGCGTACGCGGCTCATTTCGGGCAAACTCCCACGCCGGCCACTGGGCAGCCGCCATGAATCGCATGATCACGCTTCTTCATGCTCATGTGAGTCACGATCCTGATCCAGCACGACCCGCAGCCGAAGCGGTGCTGCACCTTGCTGAATCCCGAGGAGCAGCTGCGGAATTGGGTGAAGAACAGCCATGGACAGGTGGGGAGTCGCAGGTTGAAAGCGGCTGCGAAGCACCTGTGACCTCCAGGCGATCTCTTACAAGGAGGCCAGGAACCTGATAGCCTCCGCCAAGGAAGCGAAGAAGCAGGCGAAGTGATGGCCCGCCGGATTCCGTTCCGTTCGCAATTTTCGTGAAAAAGAAGCGCTGCTTTCTGTTTGCGGCGTGACTTGGACATGCCAGCACTCTTATTCGAGTAGCAACCCGCACGGAGGATCCATGATATCATATCCCAGGCAAAGCTCTTCCTGTGGCTTTATGGGCGTGGAGTCTGCCAGTGCTTCTGTCAAGGGTGCGCGCGTTTGATCTGCTGAGGCTCGTACCCGCCGCCTTGCCCTCGACTCCGGTGCAGATCGTGTTGAACGGCTCGCAGGCGCAAGAGAAGTGCGTGGGCTGGTCGTCTCGTCGACGCTCTGCCTCGGACAAATCTGCACAGGTCTTCTGGACCTCAGAAATGCAAGAAGATTTCGACGGTGGCCCGGTTGGGATCCCTTTATCCATGCCTTCTTGTCGGCTCACGATCGATTCTCTATGCTGCGGCTTGAAGTGCTTAACTTCCTGACGCGAAGAAGGTCTCACGGCTGTGGCAGACCGTGCGAACTTGCGAGCTGCGAAGCCTCGACGCTCCGGTCTCGACCTCCTGAGGTCACACTGATCACTCCTCCGCTCGCCTGAAGCCAGGGATGTGGCCGCTGGTGCCTTAGCGCCGGGACCCCAGAAGTGAAGCGTTGTAAAAAGCGCGGCGCTCGGCCAGCGTGCTGACCTTGCGACCTATAGGGCGAAGTCGAGTTCTGAAGAATTCTGCAAATGGAAAGACGCGGACATGTGAGTGAATCTCCAGTATTGGGAGGACCCTCAAGGGCAAGGTTAGGTCACAGCACCTTGTTGCTCGAAGCTCCGAACCCGAGCCTCCTCCAGGGCAGTCACAAGAGTCACTAGAGAAAACAGAACGCTCCTAATGCACCGTTAAACGGGTCGTGAAGACATCTTGCACATCATCTCGCACAGGAAAATCTGAATTGAACTGTTTCCAGGTGTAACTTGAACTCACTCTCGCACCTTGTATTGATGGAGGAGTTGGAGTTGGCTAGGGGCCGATACAGCACAGGTTTTGACATGGTTGATTCCAGCACCCAGCCAAGCGCCCACCCCCAGTGTCACGACCATACCGAAAAGTGCCGGGAGCCATGCGGAGAGCCTCCCTAGAGTCCAATGTTTTCGGAGTGCTTTTTGAAGCTGTGCAAGCACTATACAGACTGGCATGCTTTTTCGATCAAAGTTTCTAGCAGCACGCCCCCAAAAACAGGACCGATCGCAGCAGCTCCGCGTAAGGCTTCAAAGCATGGCGACAGCCAACGTCGATTCCTGAGCCGACTCCTCAACCTCAACACTGCGTCTGCGACTGTTTCAGCCCATTTCGACTACAGTTGTATGCTGCAGGCAGGGTGTTGTGGTTGAGAAAGACGACGGAAGCCGTCCAGACCCCGGCTGCGCAGCTGGGCTCTGCAGTCGTTGCTATCCTGCCAGTGGCCGCTCAGCAGTCGCTCCGTAGAGAGTCATGGCTTGGTGATGGGCTCAAAGTGTCGCAGCAGCCGCGGCTTTCTGTTTGATCAGCTTTGCAGCGGCTTCGCGACTCGATGATGGCCTGCCGCGCTCCGTCGCCCAGGGCGGCATCAGCCGGTGTGACCGTGGCGACTCGGCTACATCTTCGTTACTAGTAGCCTCGAAGCGGATTCTCTTGGGACGGCGTGCCGTGAGCATGCACTGAACTGCCCGAGGTATCGCGACACATTTGCTGGGCGCCCACAAACAGTGGCGAAGGATGTGTTGAGTCACGTTGTGCTCCAAAGCGGCGTTGAGGTCAGCCTGTTCATGTGCCGCAATCTGAGTGTGAAAGTCGCCTTGGCTGCGTGGATGCGGAGTTTGCTGGGCCAAGGCCGGGTAAAATCATTTACACGACGCTGCCCAAAAGGGTGGTGTCAGTGACGCGACAGGCAGGGGCTGCAAGACTGCAGGGCTAGACTGCTAGATACTTGTAGCAGGACTTTGGACATCACATCAGTCGATTGTGCCAAGTTAGTCCGCGATCAGTTTGAAACCCCTCCACGTCGTGGAGGGGTTTCAAACTGATCGCGGACTAACTTGGACGAGCCCATGGCGCTGCCGCTCGTTCTGCCGCAGCCTCGACTTATAAGTGTAAAGCCGCCGGTGGCAGAGCCGAGGTTGCAGTCGCAAATGGCCAAGGTTAGCCGCACGCCTCCGAAGGAAGCGCGTTCGCGCCCGCCATGCCCGCCGTGACCTGAGTCTCGAGCCTTTTTGATCTGTCTTGCCTCGTGTGCACATCGCCGCCTTTTCCCGTACTCCTCATCCTATCTCATCCTGGGGTTTTATAGTGCTTGCTCTCTTCAGAAACCCGTTGCCTTGAATCGCAGGTAGCCTCCGATTGCAACTGCCGGCTTTGCTTTTCCTTCCATGCTTCCTGCACTGCTGTCTGCGACAAAGAGCGCACACGCGCGTTGGCAGTTGGGTGACTGGGTGCACATTTCAGGCAACAAGACTGCCGGGGGGTTACCGAAACCTGTGGCATATTTCCACGAGTGAGACTCGAACAAGCGCGGCATCACTATTCAGCGAAGCCTCAATCCTGCATTGAAGCATGTGTGGTCCTTTCTATATCTTTTTGCCATGAGGGTGGTTCTGCCCCCTGCCAGTTCTGCAGAAGATCGTTCGGGCAAGATTTCGGAGCTACTGTGCTGCTTATCCTGCATTCTCATGGACTCCTGTACATGGACTAGTCTGCTTAATGACAGCCCGAATCCGGCTCCGAGTCAGCCGCGTGGCGCAGAAGATCATTGATCCCTGAACCCGCCAGCTGCAAGCTGCCATTTACGCTGAAGAAAGGGGGAGCGCAATAAATCCTCTGGGACAGCTTGATGGGGCAAAGGCTGTTTGGGCAAACTCTTTTTTGAAGCTCCTTGGACCCAAGCCCGGACTGCCGCTTCGGGTGGTGTGGCAGCATCTCAGTGTCCATGTTGATGGCCTTCTCAGTGTGGCTGAGGCCTCTGCCGATCTTGCTTGGCCGGGAGGCCAGACCTGGTTGCAGGCTTGAGCGCGGCGGTGCGTGTGTCCCCGTGCAGGCAAGCCCTTTCAAAGAAGAGGCCCCGCCGCGCTGTGGTCATGGGCAGTGATTTGCAGTTCGAGCTCGGCCAAGCTGCGCAGCAATGGCACAGCCTGTCAGGGCTCTGAGTGCCGCCAGCCCCGCGAATCCCGCGAATCCCGCGAGTCCCGCGCCGCAACCCCAGTCTCCGGCTAGTCAGATGGCCATGAGGTGGTCGGGGCGGGTGAACTCGATCCCCCAAGGCCCGGCGTAGCGGTGGGCGGAGGTCCGGATTGGCTCCTCGGCGTGTAGATTGTAGATGCTCTGAGCTCTCTGTTCGCAAGAGAGTCATGATACGAGAGAGTCCGAGAGAGCGGGCTGCGGGGCCCGAACCGTCGAGGAATCGCTGGAGCGGCAGCGAAAGCCTAAGGAGGCCTGAGGGTCGAAGTGCGGCGCAGCTGAGAGCCTGAGCTCAGCCGTTCGCTCCGTTGCAGGAATTTGAGACCCCGAGCCCGAGCTCCAACATGGATGCCAGCAGCCGGCTGAGCATGCTCTCATTCCCTTGCGCTTCTCTTGATGCTTCCTGCTTCAGGCAGTTTACAGCCTATCAACAGTGTGCAGGAAGGCATGGCACAGAGGATGGAGGCGGCCGATGACAAGTCAACGATCAAGTTCGAGAAAGCTTCCTAGCCTGAGAGTCGAACTCGCTCGGAGGATTTCGAGCGACGGCTCGCGAAGGCCAGGTGGAGGAAAGTTCGCATTGCAGTGGGCCTTTCGTCAGCTTCCAGCTTACACGGAAGGTTGATGAGCTGGCTTGCCGGATCGAGGCCGCGATGTTTTGAGCAGAGACACGCGCCCGTTACTTGGGCTGCGGATGCTTGCGGATGGGCTGCACGATGCCTTCGCCAGGCCATGGCGAACACGGTGGAGGCAAACATTGCTTCTACACGTGAGGAGCCGCCGGATGCAAACTGAAAATCTTGAACCGGATTCTGCCGGTGCTGCGCGTGAAATTGAATCGCTGGAGGGCAGCGGAAGCCTAGCTGAGAGCCTGAGCTCTCAGCTGTTCGCTCCGTCGCAGGAAGGCTCCAGCTCGAGCACCACCACCGATCCCAGCAGCCGGCTGAGCGCGCTCTGATTCCTCTATGATCTCTATGCTTCCTGATGCTTCCTGCTTCAGGCATGATACCTGTACAGCCTGTCCTCAGCGTATTGGAAGGCTTGTCAAAGAGGCTGGAGGCCGATGACAAGTCAACAATCAAGTTCGAGTTATAAAGCTTCGTAGCCTGAGAGTCGAACTCGCTCGGAGGATTTCGAGTTTCGCTTTGCGAAGGCCGGGTGGAGGAAAATTCGCATCGCAGTGGGACCTTCGTCAGCTTCCAGCTGACACGGAAGGTTGATGAGTTGGCTTGCCGGGTCGAGGCCGCGATGTTTTGCGCGGAGACGCGCGCCCTTTACATGGGCTGGGGATAGGCTGCATGATGCCTTCGCCAGGCCATGGCGAACAAGGTGGAGGCAAACATTGCTTCTACACGTGAGGAGCCGCCGGATGGAAACTGAAAATCTTGAAACGGATTCTGCTGGTGCTGCGCATGAACTTCCGGCATTCGCCCGCGATTTTTTCAGGAAGCCTGGGAAGCTCGATGGGAGCAGTTGCAGGCCGCGCCGGACGTGATCTTGCTTTGTGTAGCGAGCCGCGTGAAGCAAAGCCCAGAAGATGCGGACAAGGCCGCGAATATCGTGGCTTCTCAGCGCATCGAGAATATCGATGCCCAGCTGGCACAGCTCCTCGCCGATGCCTCAGCTTCAGCTGATGATTTCATACAAGAAGCAGCCGGTGTTGCTGTTGAAGACGGCTTGGCCAGCCCCACGCACCTGCAGGAACGGCCCACCTGCCCGAGCTCAACAGTTTCAGCTGCTGTCTCAGCTGTTGCGACTGGAGCAAGCATTGCGCTTCACTGCCCAAGCGTTGAACGTTTTTATTTGTCAGTTTCGCCTGGCGTCGCCCAGTGTAGTCTTGTGCAACCCGTTCGTTTTCGGGATTGCCGCGCCATTCCCCTCTCTCGATCTCGACAGCTGTAGGCCGCCGTCCAGACGGAATCGGAAGATAAGAACCTGCGCGAGCACCTTGGCCCGGTTCCGTTGCATCACCATCAGCAGCACTTGTAGACTTCATCAAAAGGCGCCACTTGGAGGGAGCATTCTGATTAGGGAATATAATAGACGATATAGACGTGCCTAAGACCAGGACAGTGGAGAAGCAGGAGTTTCAGCTGCAGCTTGCGGATGCTCGGCTGGCAACCGGAAAGATAGGTTTCGGACAGGCTTTGTTGATGCTGCGAAGACGGGGCAAGTGGCTTCGTTGGCTCGTGACACCCTTGAGGCAGGCGACAAGTTGATGCTGAAGGACGAGAACAGTAATTGCCGCAGGATTGCGCTGGATGCGCTCAAGGAGAAGAACGGCTACAAGGAGCCTGCGCCGCCTTGCTTCGTAGTTGCACGCGCAACCGGCCAGCGGCTGGCCATGCAGGCGGAGCTCGCAGCCGCGCAGAGGCCATCGGGCATCCGTGGAGGAAGCTTCCGAGCCCCGCCGAGAACAGGCACCTTGGCTTCCTGACGGAAGGGGAGGAGCTGGAGAATCAGGAGAATGAGGACCCAGGCTCGACTCGCGACTCGCGCAGTGCACGCGAAGCGGTGCGAAGCTGTGAACTTCAGGGCAAGCCAGCACCGAGGCGATTCTGGAGGTGGGATCTTTGCCGCGTCTTCCGACGGTTCTCCAGTGTTGCCACGTGTGGCCACAGGACTCTGGGGAGCAGGAGCAGCAAGAAGGCCGGGACTGCAGAGCGACAACGGGGCTTCTTGTGACAAGGAGGCCCAAGCTTGTTGCAGAACGGAATCCCCACGTGGTTTTGGGGGAGTCGGGAGTCAAGGATGTTGGATTTGACCTGGGGCTTTGCGGGTTTGGAGGCTGATGCATGCTAACCCGCTAACATGCTAATGCCCAAGCTTCAAGTCTCCGAGTTCTGTGAAAACTTGCCAAAGCCCTCTCAGAGCTACCGCGACCACATCGTGCAAGTGGGCCTGGGTGGCTGTATCTCTATGGAGAGGCGGGATTCCAGGAAATGGTGATGTTGTCTGTGCTTTTAGGGTTGAGCGGTGGTGCATCCTGTGGTTAGCCTGAGGGTCTTCTTTGGTCCTCGCTTTTTGCTTGGAGCTGGGTTTCTTATCACTCCTTTCGACGCCTTTGAATTTGAGCTTCCTTCCGGATTGGTCGCAGCAGTCTCCTCGAGGCTCATGAAGCTTTGCTCTTTGAGGACGCAGACAGAGCCATTGTAGTGATCCGGAATGGCGAGGCACTTCTTCCCCGAGCTGCAGACGGATCAGACGGCCGGATCATCCTCAAAAACGAGGAAGCGTCGGGGTTTGGGGGACTTCGCGGCTGGCGGCGCAGTGCTGGCGTCGTGCGTGTTTGGCACTGCACAGGACATGGTGGCAGCGTATGCGGCTCATTTCGGGCAAACTCCCACGCCGGCCACTGGGCAGCCGCCATGAATCGCATGATCACGCTTCTTCATGCTCATGTGAGTCACGATCCTGATCCAGCACGACCCGCAGCCGAAGCGGTGCTGCACCTTGCTGAATCCCGAGGAGCAGCTGCGGAATTGGGTGAAGAACAGCCATGGACAGGTGGGGAGTCGCAGGTTGAAAGCGGCTGCGAAGCACCTGTGACCTCCAGGCGATCTCTTACAAGGAGGCCAGGAACCTGATAGCCTCCGCCAAGGAAGCGAAGAAGCAGGCGAAGTGATGGCCCGCCGGATTCCGTTCCGTTCGCAATTTTCGTGAAAAAGAAGCGCTGCTTTCTGTTTGCGGCGTGACTTGGACATGCCAGCACTCTTATTCGAGTAGCAACCCGCACGGAGGATCCATGATATCATATCCCAGGCAAAGCTCTTCCTGTGGCTTTATGGGCGTGGAGTCTGCCTGATCTGCTGAGGCTCTTACCCGGGTGCCCTCGACTCCGGCGCAGATCGTGTTGAACGGCTCGCAGGCGCAAGAGAAGCGTGTGGGCTTGTCGAGTTATCACGTTGTTGTTCGGTTTTTTCAATTTCCTACTTCTTGTTGATGTGTTCCTCCCGAGCACTGTACACATCTCGATCGACATTGACATGCGGAGTGAGCAGCGATCGACGGAATCAAGGGCACCACACAGCTGTTGCCATGTCGGCGCACTTGTGCGAGTGCAAGTGTGACTGAGGAATTTGGCCGCCGGCTTCAAGACGGCAGCGGTGGAAGGCGCGCGGCTCAGTGCCCTTGGTGGCCTGGCGACGTTGGCGCAAGGACAGCTCATTGTCGACGTTCTGCGGGACAGACCTGTTTTGGAATGAGAGGACACAAGGGCTCAGACATTGAAATGCTGTTGCACTTAGCAGTCGCAAAGCAAGGTAGAACGGCGCAGGCGTTCAATTTAGATCTGACTGCCTTTGGTCTCGCAAGGCCTACTCGCGTCGCAGCTGAAGCAGGTGCCTGTATCTGCGAGGGTCACGGTTTTGTTCTGTCTCTCCCAGCAAGATGTTTCTTGGGATGTTCAGGACTTAACATTCGCATTTCCGGCCCCCTTCCACAGGCATGCAAATCGCGAGACGAGAACATGACGTACGAGGCCACTGACACTGATGTCTATAATTTGGAAGAGAGCTTTTGTGAGGAGCGGAATTCGAAACACCAACTTGAAACACCTTTTTCGTAGCCTGGAGCCTTGTGTCGTTTGACTGAGCTTGGTTGGTCATTCTTGACTTGTTCGTATGTACCCTCGATGGCACGCGGGCTCCTTGCAGGGATTTGCAGGGCTTGCTTGGCACAGGGGCGAAGATCAGCCCAACGTGAGATGAGGCCTCGTTCATGGCCTGAAGATGGTGAGTCATTGCTTCTGCAAGTATAAAAAGTCATGGCGTAGCTGCAACTTCCCCTTGACTGTCTCCAGCGAGCAGGTCCTGGGCTTCGCTGAAAATGACGCCCCAGTCTTGGTCGCATGGCTGCAGTGGGCCTGACGAAGCCCTGGACCGTTAGCATTCTTGAAACCCGGCTCGCATTGCAGATCCTGGCGGCCATTGCGCACATAGTGGACCTCGTAGACACTCCTGGAGCACGCCGGGATGAAGGACACGCCTGCACAGGTCATCGTGCGTGCTTGCAGGAAGCTGTGTCTGTAAGTGTGAGCCTGTCGGTGGTGCGAGGTGCAGCTGTTCCATGTATGTGCCTGTGCGGAGCCCGTTCCTAAGCAACGGTGGTCGAAAGTGCGGTTTTCCCCATTGCCTAGGCTGACTTTCCAGGGTGAGGGCAGCGTGAAGGACAGCCGTGCCAGTCGATGAAGTTCGGCGCATCTCACGGACACATGTTATCGTCCCTTGGAGCTTGTACTTCATCGCTGCAGTTCAAGCCTCAGCCCTCCGTCTGCCCAACCCTTGCCATGTCGTGACAGGCGCTGGGTATCTTCGCTTTGGGTGCACAGGTGCCAAGCCCGGGTTCGTCCTTTGAACCTTCAGCACCGAGGATGCAGGGTAGTAAACGGAAAAAGCAGGGTCTGTGATGCAGAAGCTTCCCTGTTACACATGTGTGCTGGACACTGGATGCCAGTGCCAATCTCGTGACGCCTTCATCGGACAATCCCTCATCAGCTTCATAAGCCCAAAAGGCCAAGAGCCCGGAACTGCTGCGCGCTGCCCTGGCTGACTGGCCAGGGCTTTGCGAGGCAAGGGGTGTTTGGATGCAAGCATAGCAGCACAAGTTGTCTCACTGGATGTGTTCACTGGCCATACGGGCACAGGCTCGGCGATGTCCGTGTCACTGCGGCTGGACCGTGCCAAGCTGGTGCAGCGCTGCATACCAGCCTGCTAGATCGCATCGGCAAGAAAGGGTCCTGTATGGCCAGAGCTGAGTTACTCTGTATTCAGTGGATCAGAGGAGCGTTGCAGCCATGTCAGTCTGACCTAATGACGCTAGGGCCTTCAGGGTGTGAGGACAACCACCCCTCAGTTGTCTGCGTGTGTGAGCAACTACCGTCGACTCATGTCAGCATCGGCTTGAGCGCAGACGTCATTTTTCGAGAAAGCGTTTATGCAAAAGGCATTCACCGGGTGCCAAACGCATGGGTCACATGTTCGTTACATCCACCCCGCAATAAAGACAGAGATATGTGCATGTATTTTCGAGCTGCGTTGTATTGCGTTGTGGTCAAACCTGAGAGCTCAAGATGGAGGGCTGATAACGATCCGAGGCAGACCCGGGATCTATAGGCAGCATTCATCATCAGAAGCAGCATCAGCATTGGCATCATCATCTTCGTCGACTTACATTTCTCGTCGTCATTCTGCATCGACGTCCTATTGTCGTTTTCCAGCACCGCTACCTCGTCTAGACGACCGCTTGGCTGCCACACACAGGGAGATCCTCAGAATCGATGATTGGGAGGGGGCTGGGGTTACTCCGTGGGGTGGCACCTATTGGCCCGACCCATTATGTGAGGGAGGTCTACAGGAACGCAGGGCTCGTTTTGGCGGCATGTGCTCTGGGCGGACTGATGTTTTGCATGAAGTCGCCACATGTTCTGCCTCTTAGCACTGTCTATCGTTGAGCGAAGCCGTCGGCGTGACCACCCGCAAAGCAGAGCAAAGAGGTCCATGCTGGACAACGTAAATCTCTTCCGGCCTCGTTGGTAATCCAGCTCACTGGCCATCTTGCCCATCTGGTATTCATGCTCAGTTCACAGCTGTCCCTGTGCAAGTTTAGCCACCCGTCATCTTTTGATAGAGTCGCAGAGCGAACAGACTCTGTCAGACTCGTTTACTTTCAATGTGACCCCCCGTTGCTGGTTCTCAGTCGGATGTCTGTGCTTTCTTCGATGCCGAGGCCTTTGTGATGGGCTGCGTTTGTCCGATTCCGGCCAAGAGTGTTGCATGTTGAATCAGGACCCGCGCGCGGGGGGCAGCTGAACAGCTGGTACGCTGAACTCAAACTCCCGACCCCAAACCCTCAAAGCTGTTTGATCACAAGCCCAGAAGCATATAGAAGTCTTATACCAAATACTAAACACCCATATGATTCCAAAGCGCTCCTCATGAGAGCTATACTTACTATAACCTCTTTGCGGGCTTAAAGGTGTCCGGCGAGCAGCTGACCATCATATCGGATGTAGAGAGATAGCACCCCAAGGTGAAGGGAGCAAGCCTCCCTTGTCGAGACCACGTCCTCGCGCAGTTGTAGCCGACGTCTTTAGAGTCGAGGTCAGAGCAGCAATCGTGGCGACCAGTTTGAGCACATGCCGCAGCGCAATTCAGTTTCTCAAGTCAAACCTGCGTGCGGCCGGTGGACATCATGGACGGCACCGCAGACTGAACAAAGGCATTTTGTCGGAGTTGCGTTTGCTTGAGCTTTGCCAAGGACTTGCCCTGGATGCTTTGGAAATGGCGCTGAAGATGGCGAACCGGTCCATGCGAGAGGCACATCGTCGAATCTTTGTTTTCGGAGGCTTTGACCTGTTTTTGGTTGTGCTTGTGTTAGGCGAACAGGCAGCGGCTGGAGCTACTGGGCCAAGTCAAAACTTGGTTCCAAACCAGCTGCTGCTGTGCCGTCTTCGAGGAGGAGCACGAGGTGGGCAAACAGAGCTATTGAACACTGGCTTTGTGGACGTGTTTACCTTACGCCTTACGCTGCCCAATCCAAGAAGGTGAATCTCGCCTCATGAGCACTTCTTTGTTGGAGAGGCAGGGCCCCAAGTCCGCAAAGTCGAAGCTTTTTCTTCCTTCCGATGCATGCCCTTGCGCTAGGCAAGTCATTCCATGCGGGGACAACACTTCATACTGTCCAAATTTCTTCAAACAACATCAGGAAGTCGTGTCGTTTTTCTGCTGCACTGGTCGGAAGATGCTGCTTGGTGAGCGATGCCTGGGCCGTCAGGGTCGGGCTTAAGTGACATATGTAAATGAATGTGCTGGTAGGCCCGGTGTGGGCGGAGTTTGCAGTCTCTCATAGCACCGTTGCACGGATCTTGCCCCCAAGCTGTCTCTGCTGAGTGCGAGCTTTTGAGCGGTCAGCTTTGATCACGAACTGGTGTGTGTGTGTGTGTGTGTGCTTTCTCGTCATGTCGCGCATGAGTTGGTGTCCGTGCCAGGCTGCGTCACCAATCGAGTTTGAACGATTTGCCTCCGAAAGCACATGCCGTTGGCATGGTGCCCGCCAAATTTCAGACGCTTGCATTATGTATTGGATGGCTTTCTGACAGTCCATGCGTAGCTTTGTCATTATGTTGCAAAGCGGCCGCATGATGCACTGTCCAGCGACTTGTTTGCACCAACTACATGCAGTATATAAACAAACCCACAGCTGAGGATTCCTTCAGCGGGTGCTCCGAAACCGCTGATCATCCCAAAGCCGCTCCTGACCCCGAAACCGGAGCAAGTGGTTACACCAGCACCGGGCCGCTCGAAGTTATTTCAATCAGTGCGTGCTCTCTTCTTTCTATGAGAAGTGTCAGCGTTGCTGCGGCGGTTCCTAAGGTGGCGTGGTGGCCCGAAGCTTCCGGATCCGTCGCACATCCTCAGGACGCAGAGCATGCCGAAGCAATCTCTGGGTATTGCCCCAAAGGTTGACGGAAAGTGCATTGCTGCTGTGGCGGACGATCGATATGGTCCGGGGGATGGCAAATGGTGGCAATGGATGGGATTCTGGCGGATGGGGCGACTGGAACACAGGCCGAAGCAGGGGAAGGATGGCAACGGCAGGCGAGGGAACGCCAAGGAAAAGGCGACGACTTGGAAGTCGTTGTCAAGGGTTTCCCTTCGACGAAGCCAGCCTGAGGGCTCCTTTCACGGGTTGCAGAGAGGTCAGCATACCGCACGGCTGGCCCAAAGGTGCGGCATTTGTGGGCTTCCAGAATCCAGAGGGAGTGAATGCCGCTACTTCTTTTGACAAGCCCTCTTTCTGGGCGTTTTCCTCACAGTCCGGCCAGCAAGTGCGAGAAGCACGAGGATGAGGCAAGAGGAACAGCAATGACGATCTGACCATTGTCATCAAAGGATTTCCCGATCATTCGATGAAGCATCCCCGACGGCATTCGTTGCGTGGATTTGCATGTGCTGACAGAATAGACATGAATAGACATGGGGTGACTGGTCTCCCTACACTGACTCCCCGCTGCGTGCATTGATGCCGGCACAGGAGGCATCGCCGTGACCGGTGGCCCGACCCCGAATGCTCAGGCAAACACCGACTTCCGGGATCCGGCAGGCAAGAGAAGGAGATCGCGTGGCGATATTCGCAGTGCTCCACTGGTTCCACGTGGCTGCAGCCTACCATTTGTTGGGTGACTATGTGACTATGTGCCATCGGCGAGGATGAGCAACGACCCAACTTTTCATGGGAGGCATGAGGGAGGTGATCCTCACGATCATGCGCCTGGAGTGGCTCACCACCTACATCTGCAAGCCCCCTGAGGACCGCCCTTGGGACGCGCTCGGATGGAAGGGAATCATCGACGAGGGCTACCCTTCCGAGGTCTGGAACGGATGGAAGCGGGTCCAGTGCCAAGAGCTGAACCACAGCCGCCTTGCCATGGTGGTAGTCACCGGCCTCGTCGCACAGAGGACGTCGTCAGCAGCGACTACGTCGCAGGTGTCGGCAAGCTCCGCGACGGGGCGAGGTGTGCATCCAGCCCATCGGCTATTCTGCTTGGCGGAACCTCCCTCGCATCGACGACTTCGTGGCCAATGTACCCTCTTGGGCCAACGGACCAGCTCTCCACGGTGACAGAATCGGCCAAAGTGCATCAAATAGGGCCGGAGCAGTGAGGGAGGGCTGCTGAGCTATCATGCGATGGGCACTCTGAACGCAGTCGCTGCAGTGATCGGTTCAGAGGTAGGGGTGTGTCCGCATACAAGCAGATCGCAAGCTTTTCAACGAGCATGCAGGCTCGGTGTTTTGGCAAGAGCTTTGAACTTTGAAATAGGGAGACTTGTGGTCATCATGATGAAGCCGGAGCCCCCGTCACCTCCGGCTGAGCCTGCAGCAGAGCCGGAGCTCACCGCGCCGAAGCCTCAGGCTTGAGCTGCCAAGTGATCCAGAGAGCTTTTTGTTTATGAATTGAGGTGGCAAGCCTTCTGCCGCTTGGTGGCTTTCTGGCTGCGCAGCTGCGACAGCGAGGTCCATGGCGACCATGCCGACTAAGGCCGGATTTCGGGTTTTCATCAGCCAAGTGTGGAGACGTTTATGTGATACTGCTTGAATTCGCCATGAACTGGAGGACAAAGCAGTGGTGGCAGTGGTGGCAACGCCGCAAGCAGCGACCCCGCCACCTTCGCCAGACGGCTTCAGCGGCGTTTGCAAAGCTGGAAGCAAAGGCGCATCGCCGGCCCTTAAGGGCCCTGTGCCATCTGCACCGTCTGCACGCTTCGGTGGCGTCTTCAAGTCAGGCCCTCTTGAGTCAAGACCTGCTGCAGCACCGAAGGCAACGGCATCAGCACAGCGCGCGCAGAGAGCGCAGGGCAGGTTGAAGCATGTCATCTCCAAGATCCACGTCTTCAAGCCGCTGGAGCTGGGTGTGGATGCGCCTCAGGCGCTGTCGGAGCACGGGCGGATGCACCGCTGAAGATGTTGCAGGTCACCGACCAGGAGAGCAATGGCACAGTGGCTCCGTGTGCTACAAGAACACAGGGCTCGTTTTGGACGTCGGCCTCTTAACACCGTTGAGCGAAGCCGTCGGCACATCAGGCAAGCCTGATCAGGAATCACCATGCATGGAGAACGAGAAAAGCCGGACTTTGCTTGCTGCCTCCTCACTCCCCCGAGCAAGTATGCTCAAAGTTCATGCAGGGATGCGGGGGCCCACTCAGGTGTGTTGCATGTGATCGAAAAATCAGTACAGCACATGAACGTGCAGGCAGGCGCCCGTGCACGAATCGTAGTAAGCAGGCATGCCTGCCGATCTTTGCACAGGCAAGCACGCTTAAAGGCCTTTGCATAGGCGAATCATCGCGAAAGCCAGTGTGCCCTCAAGTGTGGAAGCCAGGCGCAGGGCCTGGGGGGGGGCTAACCCACGTGTGTAAATGATCCTCCCGCTACCGTGCCTGCACAGTGTCCATCGATGCAGCTTGCTTGCCGGATGTTGCTGAGATTTCTCGATGAAGTCCGATGCGTATGGCTCCAGTGCTCCTCTAGCTTGCCAACATGCACGCGGAGTGGTATTTCGCCTGGCCTTTTATGCAGAAGTTTCCTCCTTTGGATGACCCTTATGTGCGGCAGCCAAGTCGGTTGACAATCCTGAAAGCAAGATAGGCTACTGTCGCACGGGGACAGCTTCCAGCCCACCTGCATCAGATCCAGCCAAGGGCCCCGCGACAGACGCAGAAATCCTTTGGTATGTGGAGCAGGTGCACAAGAAGGCTGGGCATGAAGAAAGCTGCCTCCGTGCGTATTTGCATTCGTCACATCGTGCTTTCTGCTTGCATGCATCGGCCTGGCAAACCCTGCCCCCACATCTGGTACTCAGGAAGATCTGATCTGCTTCCTTTTTGTGCATCTGTGCCCGCGGTCTTGTTGAACTTCTGGTTATAGAAATGCTGCAATAATGCTCGTCTGTTTGTCCCTGAGCGCATACAGGGGCGACCTCTCTCAGTTTCAAGTTTGAAGGTAACGGTCGGCAAGGTCAGAAGTGCACCAGATCTATCAAGCATGACATGTACTGGTAGCAGTAACACTGATGCTTCACTTAGCCACAATCGCCCGTAACTTTCGCATGCCTCACGGCTCCAGCCGGCAGCTTGCAGGCCAGGTGGCAGAGGAGAACGGTGGCTGGGTTTGTGCATGCCGGTGTCCTCAGCTATGCTACTGAACAAAGCTGTCCGTCGAAGCGAAAAGTCTCCGGATCTCCAAGGCCATGTGGGAAGCAGTGTCTTGCTGCTGCCCCTCCGCGCCATCTACGGAGGAAGAAGAACTTCGCGTTTGAGGGTGAGCTGCCTACAAAGACAGTCGTGGCCCTTCCGCCGTTCAGGGTTCACTGCGTCTCTGTGGGAAGCTCACACAAGGGCTGAGCAAGCTCGCGCGAGGCCATGCCTGTCGGCCCAGACGCCGTATCGTCGGCGTTCCGAGACCTTCTCCATCTTTGTCTCCGCCTGAGGTTGCCGGCAGCATGCATCTGCACAACTGAAGACAGCAGCTCTGTCTGTGACTTTTTCTTGTTCTTGGGATGCTACTTTTCCGACTCTTTGTTGACAAGCACGCCCAGGTCCCAATGCAGCTGTGCTTATTGCGAGGCTACCAGGCACAAACATGTTAGCCACCATCTAAAGAGGTGGAGCTGCACAAGGATTCCACCCCAACGTCAAGTCATGGTCCTTACTTCTATGGCCTGGAGAACAACTGCTTGCTTTCAGTTTGCATTCTCGCGTTCGGGGATCGGGCGGTCATGGCAGCAACGGTGGAGGGGCGATGTCGATCACTTCATGGTCCCGGTAGAAGCGGAGGGCATGAGATTTTGGGCCCATGTGCGACTTTTACATGAGCGAGGCCACGTAAAGACGTGGTTTTCACGTGATAAATGTCTGTCGAAGCAGGCCGGTGGTTGACAAGTTCCCAGCAAGCTTCTTCTAGCCGCTAGCTGTCATGCGCCTCACTTCAAGTTAACCTCCAAGCGCAGCAGCACTGGTTTCAAACACTTTCATGTGAAGTGTCATTTTGATTTTCCTCACCGCGCAAAACATCACATATGTAAATGAATATGCTGGTGGACCCGGTGTGGGCAGAGTTTGCAGTCTCTCATAGCGCTGTTGCAAGTATCTTGCCCGCAAGCTGTCTCTGCTGAGTGAGAGCCTGTGAGCGGTCAGCTTGAATCACGAACTGGTGTGTGCTTTCTCGTCATGTCGTGCATGAGTTGGTGTCCGTGCCAGGCTGCGTCACCAATCGAGTTTCAACGAAGTGCCTCCGAAAGCACATGCAGGTGGCATGGTGCCCGCATGTGCCCGCCAAATCTCAGAGGCTTGCATTATGTAGTGAAACACACGTGTGTGTGCAGTAACAACCGTTAACGACGGCCGTCGCTAGCACTCTGGCTCGACGAGTTCAAAGTTTTAGCCTGAATCTCCTTCGACGCCATGTCGAACCCTAGTGGAGCCGCCTCATCTTCGACGCCCCAGGCGACGGTGCGCCTTGTGCGTAAGGCACCGCCGCAGGTCCCTCAGCCGACGCCATCTCCCGACGTCGGGGTCCACGTCGCCGTCCGGGAGCTTCGCAATGTGCTCCGGAAGGGACGGGAGAATGGCTTTGGGGCGTGGGCTGAGCTGGCGGCGAACCTGGGCATGGAGGACAGGACGGCCCTCGCCGAGCTCCTCGCCGTTATGTCGGTGGTTCCCCCGACGAATCCACCGACGGAGGAGGAACGCCAGATGTACATGGGGCGCCTCTTCCCGCAGAGGACGCCGACGGCGGATGGGCTGATCCAGGTGAAGGCTGCGCCGACCCCACCGCCGGGCTATGGCACTACAACGCCGTCATCGACGGGCCCCGGGAGTTCATCGACGGCACCAGCTATGCCGACCTCATCGACGGGCCCCAGCAGCTCGCCGACAGCAACCATCTTGCAGCAGAACGTCGGGGCACCGCCCACGGCGTGGGCCAGCCAAGTGCAGTGGCACCCTCCGCCGCATGCGACGGCAAGAGACGCAGATCAGGTCTCGGGCATGGTGTTCCTCGACGCACCTACCTCCTCGACGACAAGGACTGCAGCAGCCTTCCTGGATCCGACGGAGGCTAGGGAGCCAGAGACGACTGCATCGCCGACCGTTGCGGGTTTCCCCGGGCTCGCCGAGATGGAGGCACAGTCGGCGATGCCCTCAGGGACGGCGACACCTGCCTTCTACTTCGACGCGGCTGGCCGCCGCACCAGAGCGCCACCAGCCGGCGCACGACGGCCCGACATCGCCACTGGGGCTCACACGCCGGCCACCACGGCGGGCGATGGAGCAGCAGATGACGTCGTGACCATGGCGGCAAGCATGCTCAGGGAGGTGGCGCCGAGGACGGACGACGACGCCGTTTCGGCGGCTGGAAGCCTGAGCTCGACGACACGGGGAAGATCGCCGCAGCGCGGTGGGCGCCCGGCCATGGACCCACCGCCTCCACCGCCGGTGGCAGACACACCCCCAGGCAGGTCGTCGTTCCCGCCGTTGTCAGCCGCTTCGACGCCATGGCAGTCAACGCCGCCAAGCCCGAGGCAGACTACACGACGGGCTCCCACACCGCCGGCGGTGGCACAAGACCGCCCGGATTGGATGTTCCCGCCAGGGGCGAGGCCGGCGGACCAGGACGCCGGCTCGACGGCCGCGCCCGGCCCAGCCACCACAAGGACGACGACACCGACGGGGGCACGGTCCAGGTCCAAGACGGCGGCGGGGTTCCGCGAGCACCTGAGCGACGAAAGGATCCGCCAAATCGAGATCAACATGACCGACGACTATCGGCAGCATAAGCAGGCTATGCATCGCCGGGGCGCTCGCGCCGTCGACGACCCGCCGAAGTCAGTCAAGCACTTGCTCAGGCGGACCCTGAACGACGTGATCGCCGAGGAGAACCTGGACAAGCAGGGCATCGACGGGCACAAGCCCAAGCCCCCGCCGACCTCGGCGCCCACCTACTGTGCATACTGGTTCTGCTCGACGCTACCCGCCAACACGCGCGGCGCCCGGATCCCCTGGCAAAGCCAGGAGGCCGGCCGACGTGTGCTTGGTTGGTGCTCGCACCCTTGCACGTCGCCGCAATGCCCTCATTTTGAAGACCTTTACGACGTGGACTCGCCGGGCCTAGGCCGCTGCCTGCGTCCCGTCGTCGAGGGCAACGGCCGTGACCATATTGGTCACGAGTGCGCCGCATGCCATGGCATGGTCGGCGCACAGGACTGAGATTTCACGACGCCAGCGGGTGCCCCTGTCACCCGGCTCCGGCCATCGGGTCGGCACCGCTGAGGCAGTCGACGGCGGCGGGGGCAGGATCAGAGCCCACCGCCGCCCTGTATTACTTATTTTCTTTTCGACGTTCTCGTCGTTGCCAGAGTTGCTTAATCTCGGCGGTCACGCCGCACGGTGCCTTTTGGCGGAGCCCGACGCACCCGACAAAAAGAGTGCCGTGCACCTGTTGCCTCGTCCGTCGCGCCTGCCGTCGCTGTCGGCCTCTCTCTCTCTCTTCGTTCGTTTTCGGTCGTCGCCGTTGCCTTTTCTGCTTCCGCCGCAGCCTTTTCTGCTCTGGCTCGAGACGCCGACTTGCACTAACCCCCCTGCATTCCTCGACCCAGGACGCCGGTCATGAACCAACAAGTCGCATCGTCGGGACCCTCCGCGACTGTCGCCGACTTCTTTCGCGACGTCGCCTCGGCAGGCGGCTCGGCCTACATCGCAACATTGGCCAGGTTCGGCGCGATCAACACGCCGGCAGTGAGGGACTCCTTCGCCGTCCTCTTGGAGAACGGCGTGCCAGAGGGCCTCTTGCTGCAGATCCTGGCGCCGGTGCCGCCGACTCAGCCGGAACCAACGGCGGCCAGGCCACCCAGGCACGACGTGCCGCAAAGAAGGACCCTACCCCGGGCATCCTTGACGGCGGCCT